ACCCTGATTGCATTCCAAACCCACATCACTTGCTTTATTCGGTGAAACAAAAAAAACAAAAAAATGTTTAATCCATATTTTTGTCCATACAATGAAAGTCAATGAGGTCTACTTTTATTTGTCATAGAAGAAAGTCATACAGGTTTGGAAATACATCAGGGTGAGTAAATGATGACAGAACTATTCCCTATATGGCCATAGTATGATAAAACTTGTAAAAAAAAAATTTTTTTTAAATCATATTTTCAGATTTACCACCTTTAAAAATAGCACCGACCAGTAATCTTATAAATTTCCCATCTGTGGCATGTTTAGCTAAAGCATTAAACACAGCTGAGTACACAATTATTTTATAATCTTTCTAAGATTATATGTGTACACTACATGGCCAAACGTTTGTGGACACCCCCTTACGGGTTTGACTATTTCAGCTATGCTGCCACAATACTCTCAAACTCAATTTTAAGTAGACAAACAATGTTAACCCTTTTCAATCTTTGTCAGGTAGATCAAAACTTTATTTGTCTACTATTAAAATGTATGTGATTCCGGAGATGCAATCTGGTACAGAAATGGATACTCGGTGAACAGGAATATTGACTTTTTCTCTGTTGCTGTTCAGTCCTTGTACAAGTACAATGTAATTGGTGATATTTGTCCCACCCCTCCTCCACTGTCACTGGATCGCTGCATTTTACCCAAAGTTGAACATTTTTCAACTCTCTGTGACCAGAAAAAAAGCCAAGTACACAGTGCTTTTTAAATACACTGAACAAAATTATAAACGCAACACTTTTGTTTTTGCCCCCATTTTTCATGAGCTGAACTCAAAGATCTAAGACTTTTTCTATATACACAAAAGGCCTATTTCTCTCAAATATTGTTCCCAAATCTGTCTAAATCTGTGATGCGTTTATAATTTTGTTCAGTGTATGTGCGCTCCCATTGAAAACAATTGAAGATAAAAAATACTTAAAATTAAACTTATAATTAATATTTAGAGATTGAGAATATTATGGCAGTGTGTTGCCCTTTTGCTCTTTTTTTTTTGAAGGCTTTCTTAGATGATTTTTTTAGTCATGCACTTGATCATTATTATTGACAAGTGCATAAAATCAAGCATACAGCCAGACAATCCCCTTTGACAAATGTAAGTAGAATGTGGTGTACCAAAGAGCTCAGTGATGTTCAAGATGCACTATCCTAGGATGCCAAAGAAAGATGGCCTGCACAAAGCCCAGACCTGAACCTTACTGAACACCTCTGGGACAAATTCAAATGCTGACAGGGAGTGAGACTGATGCTCATGTCTGAATGGGAGCTAATCTGCACAGCCATGCTACAACATCTTCCTAGAAGAGTTGAAACTGTTAATGAACCAATAGGAGGATCAACTATAGTTGGCCATGTAGTGTATGGGTAAAATAATGTAAAATTTTTATATAAAAAAGAAGTAAACAATTTAAAATTTTAAATATATACCTAAAATGTTAATGCAGAAAGCATAAAGCATCTGTAATTCTTCTAGTATATTTGAACAAATTAGCCATAGTGCTATGGTTACAACAATGAAAATATATATTTTGCTTCTACATCTTAATTATGTTTGATTCAGTGCAACTCATTGTCTACACCGTTTTTTAATATTCTTTATTCCTCAGTCTGTATCAGTCTGAATTTATTTTATGTTTTTTAAATTGTGCAACTATTTCCAAGTAATTATTTAGTAGCGTACCCTAGTGCAACCACTGCTTCATTACAATGATGCAAGCTGTCTCTCCTAGGGCTCAAGCCTTCAGCATTACCGCCACCATCTGGATCATATCGGAAGTATTTTTTTCTGGTAAGCAGAGTACATGATTTGTGATATGTACAAAGTGCCAGACCTGCTGGTTTATCATCTTGAAAAAGCGCCTAAACTTACTTTTTTGTTATCAACAGGCAGTGAATTTTTAATTAAAAACCTGCCAATGAAAGTGACATGAAAATGGATGAAAACTGACACTGACCTTGCTGTGAACCCTTTAGCTTGTTATAGTGTGAATCCTCCAGTGATCCCTGGACTGGCGTCCCTGACTCTGCAACACAACAGCCTACTGAAAGCCAATGAGGAGAAGCAGCAGGTAAATGATGAGAATGGTATTTTTCACTCACTTACAGGGAGCTGTTGTATTTGCAGTCTGTGGTTTTCACAGTATGAGAGCCACTTCTCAGTAAGGCGTGAAGGACGCACGCTGTGAGGAGTAGGAGGTGAATGCGACTCAGTATTGATTCTTTGTTCTTGTTTGGGTTGATGTGATGTCTACGTGTGTGTACATGCGTTCAGTTGGTGTGGCTGCTCATTCAAGGTTTATTTTTTTGGTGTGACTAAGTACACCACAACTAATTCAGATTGAATTAGAGTCACACTTTTCACACATACTGGGTATATCTTGAGGCATCAGATGTATTGGACAGTCCTGCACAGTGAGTGCCAGTGGTACAAAAAGCTATAAGTGGAGACGTTTCTAGTTTGGCAATCTAAATATTGCTGAAACTGGAGAGTTAAGGTCCATTCACACTAAGAATGATAACTATAAAAATAACCATAATGATAACTATATTATAATCCAAACCAGTGGCCAATACCATTCTGTTTATTATAAGCATGCTGCAGTTTTGTCCTCTGCTGCTTTAAATGCTCAAGTACTTTAAAACAGAATGGATTCTGATTGACTGTCAATAATTTTATCGTTCATTAGCTGGAAAAAAATAATTCTGAAAGCAATTCCAACAATATGGACTCTGCTATTCTTTTACATTTAGAATAGTTTTTAGAAATATATCTTTATCATTATAGTTATCCTCCTTGGTGTGAAAGGGCCTTTACACAGGTCTTCTTGTACTTTTGTGCCCTTTTAGTGAGATTTTGAAAGTTGTGATGAAACGGAAGTAGTGATATCTCTTCATTTGTATTGTGACATACTGAAACTGATTATCGAAAAAGAAAAAAAAATGTTGGGCGGGGTTCTGTCCATCAGTTGTTGATTGGATTGAGGCAGATCTCAATGTGAACTTTGGTCAATTGTAAGAAAGGGGCAGAGTCTAAGCATTTTAAATGATTAGAGATGTCTGGCATACACTCTTAAAAATAAAGGTGCTTCACGATGCCATAGAAGAACCTTTTTGTCTAAATGGTTCCATAAAGAACCTTTAACATCTGAAGAACCTTTCTGTTTCACAAAAGGTTCTTTGTGGCGAAAGAAGGTTCTTCAGATTATAAAAAGATAAGAAAGAGATGGTTCTTTAGAAGAACCTTTCACTGAATGGTTCTTTGTGGAACCAAAAATGGTTCTTCTATGGCATCGCTTGAAGAACCTTTTGAAGCACCTTTATTTTTAAGAGTGTACGTCACTAGAGAGAAGCCTGTCATTTTACCAGAAGATCAAGTTCAGATTAAAAACATGCATGGATCAATAAAATGGATTTAGAAAACATAGAGGGTGAATTTGCATTTGTGCCAGCTTTAATTACAGGTTACTCTAAGGCAGTGGTTCTCAACCAGTTTTGCTTCAAAAAGATTTGCACTCAAGTTGTGATGCTACAAAGCACCAAAAAATCATACAAAAGTATGTATTTAAAATCACGGAGATGAGCATAATGAATGGTAAAGAATATACAACATTATTAACATGGCTTAATGGAAATTAGTAACAAAGCTTCAAAGCCGCAATGAATTCTGGCATCATTCTGTCAGCACTCTGAATCATTCTGTGTCCTTACTTTTAAATATGCATTGCTTCGAGATCTTCGGCATTTCTGAATATTTTGTAGCTAGATCAAACGGAGTTCCTGTTCTGCACTGTTCACTCCAGTGCCCTCTTGCACAGATCCTTCTGCTGTTCCAAGACCTAATTCCCGTCTGGCCTGAACTTTGTGCACTTGAGGATTTAAAGATCCCAAAAACCTACTTTCCTATACCTCAGGGGTGTCCAAACGTTTTTTAAAGGGGGCCAGATTCGATGATGTAAACACACCAGGGGGCCGGATGCTTCATATATATATATATATATATATATATCTCTCTCAAGCTATCTGGCTTAAATTGAATGCTGTCACCTTGTGTTGACATTGTGAAACTGCATGAATTGTAAATTATGCTTGGCGGGCCACATAGAGCCTACTACATTTTCAATAGACAAGCTGCGGGCAGTGGCGGCTCGTGGGTTTTAAAATAGAGGAGGCACACTAATTGTATTGGTCTGGGATCCCTGCCGAGCGGGCCGTTTGAAATTCATCCACGGGCCGTATTTGGCCCGCGGGTCAGACTTTTTGGACACCCCTGCTATACCTATTCTCTTCATCATGGTATCTCAGCTGAGCACAAAACGCTGTTTTTGAAGACACTTTACAAAGCCTATTCTCTATTTTACACCATGGCTGAGCATCCAGGCATAATGCTTAATGTCCAGAGGGGATGAAAATACAGCAGCCTGCCATCGTGCTTCAAACTCTTTGCTCCAATAAACTATAAATCTTATTCCTGAAGGCCAAGACATGCAGTTTAGTTCCTGACAGGCAAAGGAGATGATTTGACAGCAGTGTAGTTATTTATATTGTAATTAATCAGACACTTTCGACTGGAAATCTACCTGCTACAGATAATTTCTCCCTGTTGTATCATATTTCAACCCGATCTCGTGAGAAAAGGCGACTATTTTAGAAGTTGGCGATTTCAATTATGATTTTAGGGGAATAAAAGCCTAAAACTATCCCTAAAACTAACCCTCAGTGGGGCATAAGCAGATCATATGAAAACGTATAAATGAGATCATACAAAGCCATAAATTCTCCAATTTATCAAAGATGACAGATGATGTTGAATGTTTTCATGATATCTTGTTTTTCCGATTCCAAATCAGTACACCATTTCACATAATATTATTAAGAAGGTGTTTGAAACCAACAACCAATGCTAGAGAAAACAGGTGTGTGTGCAAATTGACTTTTGGTCTAGTTTTGGTCTCAGTTCATAATAGATGATGGCTGAAAATATTCTCTAATAATTAGTTTGACTTTGCTGTTTGAATAGAATGTCGCTACTACAGGTATGTGTAGCGATGTTTCAAACGCACAGTGGGCTGTTTTTTCCTCGCATCAGCGGTCACGTGCCCTTTCTGTCGTTGCACATTAATTATTCCCACAGTCTCCGGATAGGCTATTAATGCGTCTTTTTCGCGGTGCCCGCTGTCTAAATGCGTTTTCCCAGTTTCTAACAAATAATTCACTCTGTCTCGGGCGCGTGATGCACTGCAAATTGAAAGATGGCGCGAAAGAGCTCTTGAGTCGGCGCGGCGCGTTCAGGTGCACACACCTCCAGCAAAAACTACGCACTCAGCTCTGTCTGCTTCAGCCCAAATCATTTTAGGTGCACGGAAGGGATAACGCTAGGCGCATAACCGCAACACGACAGTACGTTCAGCTCCTCTGTATTTCCAAGGAAGACACGCAAAGGACTGCCATGAGCTGTCGTGTCTAGTGACCCGCTGGCGATGGGATCTGACCGGCATACTGATACGCTCCGCCAGCAGCGTCAGCATCGGGGATCGAGACAGACGCAAGATCACCTCGCCGCGCCACTTTGGTTTTCGTTAGAGTTGCTCATTTCTTTGCGTTTGTAGTATTTTGATGTTGGTCTCGTCGTCGCGCATGCGTTGCTGTGTAGTTGAAATTGCTGGAGCGCTTCTTCAGACTGAGTTTGGGCTACTGGTTCTCGGTTGATGATGAGAGGGATGCTGGTCGCACGGGATCACTGGCGCGCGGGGATCTTGTGTCTCCTAGTGCTCGTGGCTTTGACGGTCTGTCGCAGCCCTCCAGCGCACAGGTAAAGCATAACGTGCTTGTGTGTTATCAGTCTGCCTGCATTCATTGCGGAGCCATGTTAAACTAGCCTAAGATGGTTTGCTGGGCTTAGCTGGTCTCCCAGCCTATTGGCTGGTTTTAGAGAGGTTTTGGGCACTTTTCAGACGCTCAGGCTGAAAGCCATATGAGCACGAGATTGGCAAGGCTGAGGAACTAGACCAGTTTGGCCAATCTAGGAGACAGTTAAATCCAGCTTGGCTCTTCTACAAGTCCAGATTTTAAGATAAAGCTGGTTTCTTTCAGCACGATTGGGTCACAGTTTCTTAAATATCATACAATTCTTCCACAGTGTAAATGAACCAAGCAACATGTCATATGTCAAAGTCACCGTGGATAAACTACTCAAAGGCTACGACATCCGTCTCAGGCCAGACTTTGGAGGTAAAGGCGTTATATTGATTTAAAACACTTTTCCCTTCTCACTGATGGATGTGACCATTTTGTTGGATCATTGACTGTCATCAGGCCATGTCGGAGAGATTGTGGTGTCTGTTTGCTTTGCAGGTCCTCCGGTTGATGTCGTTATGAGTATCGACATCTCCAGTATCGACATGGTGTCAGAAGTGAACATGGTGAGTCTACAAGCTACTCTGGTTGTTTAATAGATGGTGGGCTATTAAGGAAGGGAACATATGTCAGCACAACCTATTAAAGGGTTAGTTCACCCCAAAATGTAAATTCTGTCATTAATTACTCACCCTCATGTCGTTCCAAATCCGTAAGACCTCCGTTCATCTTCAGAACACAAATTAAGATATTTTTTGATGAAATGTGAGAGCTCTCAGACCCTGCATAGACAGCAACGCAACTGTAATATTCCCAGGTCCAGAAACGTAGTAAGGACATCGGTAAAACAGTCCATGTGACATCAGTGGCTCAACTTCAGTTTTGCTAAGCTATGGGAATACTTTTTGAACGCAAAGACAACAAAAATAACATAATTTATTTCACAGTTCTTCTCTCCCGAGTTACGTCTTCCGCCATTTTGGAGAGTACCCAAGAGCGTAATCAACGTAATCAGCGTTGTTTACGTTCGGGGGAGAAAGCGCGCGCATGAACATAATCTGCGTAATCAGCGTTGTTTATGCTTAGGGGAAAGCGTGCGTATACATTGTGATACTCTTTAAAATGGCGGAAATGTTTCTCTAGAAATTTTTTTTTAAACAATTCTTCTCCCCCGAGTTATGTCTTATAACTCGGGGGAGAAGAATTGTTTAAAAAAATTTTTTTTTTTCTTTGGGTGAACGGGCTACAGTGATGAGATTCGTGAGAAAGTGGGAGATTCGAGTCAGCTGTTGTAGTCCACTTAGGAAAAAGCTACAGGGTACTGTTTTCTCTCCTGCTCACATACACACAAGCACAGCTGACTGTAAGATTAGACAGGCATTGTGTTCATTTTGCATTATGATTGTTTTGGCATTGGAACTGAACTGACATAAGCCTTTACTCTGACTCAGCAAAGAAGGACAAAATAAGCAATTGTGTGAGGAACATGCACACAAGACCCCATATACGCACACCCACAGGTTGGAGTAGGTTGACGTAATGGATGCTAAAACACAACAGTGATTTTAAAGGGTTAGTTCACCCAAAAATTAAAATTAGTCCATAAATTACTCACCCTCAAGTCATCCTAGGTGTATATGACTTTCTTCTTTCAGACGAATCCAGTCGGAGTTATATTAAAAATTGTCTTTGATCTTTCAAGCCGTTTCATGGCACTCAGCGGGTGTTGCATGCATCAGTCCAAAAGAAGTTAAATAAAATGCGCCCATCCATAAAAAAGTGTCTCACATGGCTCCGGGGGGTGAACAAAGGCCTTCTGTAGTGAATCGATGCGTTTTTGTAAGAAAAATATCCATATTCAAAACGTAATAATCACTTTAATGTAGCTTGCGCCAACAGTTGTACACGAAAGCAGCTATGTCACCCTGAAATAGAAGTAAAGGTGATTTTTATGAAGATGATCATGATGGTCAATGGATTATAGGATGTGTAATTAGCTTAAGTTTATTGGCCTGTGTCCAATGAGTATACTGTACTATAGAGCAACCTTTTTGACTTCTTTGGGTTCCCCCCATTGTCCAACATATTATTATAAACCTTTTATATTAACAGAAACTAAGGGCCAGATTGACTAAACAGAGCAAATTAGTGTGAGAGTGAAATCCCATAAAAACACAAATGGGAGTGGAAAATGTTGCTGGTGATCTACTGACAATGCGCAAATTAAAGAACACAGATGCAGTCATAATGACTAACGCAATCTACCAAGAGCAATGCAGATTACTGTTGGGTCACAAACAAGCAGAGCCAATGATAACCAGGTGCGGGTAATCTACTGACAACACAGGTGCAAAATGGGTTAAGATATTCTTGGGGGTGCAAATACCAGTAAAACTGACGACCGCAAATCTTTGTAAACCAACTTGCATGATTCTTTTAAATACTCTCCTCCCATACATTTTGTGTCTGAAAGGGAAACTCCTACAAATGCATATGCAATAAGGTCAGCCGCAAAAATAACTGTGTCCACACCTTTTCATCGCTATTGATTCACTGCGTGTCTTTAGTAAATCCTGTCTTTAGTTTTTTAACGTCAAAATGCAGTGAGAATGCTGTTAGTAAATCTGGCCCTAGGTGTGTTGTTATAAATAATTAACCACAATTATTTTTTTCGTATGATTCAATAAGATTAAAGATTCTGCTATGGTATGCTCTTCAAATAAAAAAAAAATTGAGGGAAAAAAGAAATATGATGTCAACGTACATATTGTTTTTTTATGTTTTTTTTTTAGAATTAATTTTTAATATAATGTAATTAATCCTGTGACCTCTTTGGAAGTGTGCTGAAGGCCCCGGTCCCCTGTTTGAGAACCACTGCTATAGAGGACATGCAAGCTCCCTTTTGTCCCCCCGATGATGGCCTTGAATTGGAGATTAATGCCAATCATTTTCTTTTCAAAGTGATAAAATAGTAGTAAAAATAACAGTAAAATGTGTTTTGAAATAAACTTCAGGTGTAGTCTTATGCATTTCCACTCTGAAGGCTGATGCACTCTGGGGGATGTCTAGGATACTTCAGGTCTAAGGTTGAGGTTGTCACTTTTGTTACGACAAGGTGTCATTTTGGCCATGCTGGAAAAAGCTTTTTTTGTGAATTATGGATAGCGGGCCTGAACAAAAGTAATTTCTGTGGTGGTTTGCCATACATTAAATATTTTATTAAGTGGGAGGCCTTTCAGGGAGGATACATGGTGGTGGGAGTTAGTGAGGCGCAGCAGAGAGATACTTAGCGTTTCACTGTTTCCAGAAATTCTGTTTCTCTAGAAATATACTTTTAAATAAAATCTAAAATGATCAGATTAAATGTATGTAAGCATACCACCTGGAGCAGTTTACGTCAGTTTCATCTCTTGTGGCAAAGTCAGGGTACAAGAAACCGTCCCAAACGTTATTGTGGTGTTTGAAATGAATGATGAGTTATGAGTTATAATGTAGAGTTGATTACATTCACTGTTGAAAGAACAGAAGGAATCAAAGATATCTTAAAGTGTCCTTATGCACCATTTTGAAGTTCCGTATCTCATTAGCTTCTCATTATTGCTTTTTATTCAGGTCAATGGTGAATTTCACAATAATTAATTTAGTTCCCTTTCAGTCGGTCACTCTCGACGTCACGTCGGATGACCGACGAATTGGGATCTCGCTTAGAGAGACCAATCTACTTCAAGTGTAAACTAAACGAGCCAATGCACATTGGCATGCGATTATTGCATCCAGCTGCCGCTGATCACAGCGTGAGTATAAGTAGGCAGCAGATGCAGCGCATATTCAGCTTTTCGCTTCGGAGCCGAGCGATCACATCGTTCTGCTCCTGACTACTCTACTGAGAGAAGGAGACTGAACGAGTTCAGTGCGCTCTTGGAGAGCTCTTCGTGTTGGCGGTACGGCGCTTCAGCGGTGGTGGTTTCCCGTGTCAAGTGGGTTGCACACATCAGGCTGCACTACCCCCTGTTTGTGTTGCAGATGATCATCTCCCCTGTGCGCCTCAGCACGCTAATGGGAACAGAGACATTACGTCCCGTCGCCATGGCTGCTGTACAACCGCTGAGCGGCCGGGTCACCGGCTCGGCTCCCCAGAGAAAACCTGGTATGCATTACACCGGCTGCCTTTTTATGCTTACGCTGTGATCAGCGGCAGCTAGATGCAATCATCGCATGCCAATGTACATTGGCTCGTTTAGTTTACACTCGAAGTAGATTGGTCTCTCTAAGTGAGATCCCAATTCGTCGGTCATCCGACGTGACGTCTCCGTTCCCTCCTTCAGGGAACGATGGTTACCATACGTAACCGAGACGATTTGTTTGAATGTAATGTGAACAAAAGTCAAGTTTGGTGAGGTAGTTGCTGTCATTTTTGTATCTGCAGGAACTAGCATTAAGGTGTAGCTTTCATCAAGATCTGTTGTGATTTTTAGGGAGGTAGACTGAAAAAATGTGATAAAAAATATGATTCGACATCTAAATGGTTTTTAATCAAGTCATTAATATTGTTTAAAATCACTGGATCAACATAAATACATGATGTTACACCTAATAATTTTAAAGGTTTGATCAGGTAGCAATAGAAATTGCAGGTTAACACTACAGTGTACCATACCAATTTTTAATTTACCATATCGATTCATTTACTCAGTCAACTTACCGATTATTGATTGAAATTGAATATATTGCCAGATATTGGAAATTTAATAACTTGATTTTTACATTTAGATACATCTAGATTAATGCTCACATCTGTGGAAACACTAATGATTTAGTGAAACTATTTTCTCTTTCTGAATATTATAATGTGATGCCTGAATTTACTTGTAGCATTTAAAACTCTTATTTTTAGCTTGTTTTTAATTGTAAGCATATATAAGCATAGAAATTTAATAACAGTGATTATTAAACAGTGGTCCATTAAATGACAATAATTATCAGCTTATTACTATCAGCCAGAATTTTAATATCAGTGCCTCCCAAGTGCTTTTAGAAAATCAGATATTGAACTGTATTTGCCTCCCTGCAAATGTTCTCATTCCATTTCTCCTGCTTGCTTGCTTGAAATGAAAACACAGATACACTCTGACATGATTTTCATAACATTTCATGATTAAAGTGTCAGATATCGACAGATGTGTTTTCTGTTTCTTTGCTTTTTATAGCACAGAAAATCACAGGTTCAGAGAGCACTACAAACCTTATCACAATAACAGAAAGGTGATTTGGCAGAGAAGTGAGAAAAAGCAGAATTTAAATAGCCAATTTAGAAATGGCGTTAAACTAAAAGATAATCTACTGCAGCTCCCCTAAGAATATTGCAGAAGGTCAGCTGTTCTCAGTGCTGTAACATAGCCAGCTCTTGTACACTCCTGCATTGATTGTTAATGTACGCTGCTAGTTACCTCAGTTGCCCTCACTCACCACATCGTGACTGCAGTGTGAGGATACATTTGCAGTAAAAGATGCTCGATGTGAGAAGTGGACTCTTGGCTGCAGTGTGATGCTGGTGTTTTTATTAACAACTGGTGTGGACTTAAGCAAAATAGACTTTTTACTTTTACTTTCTCAGTTCACATTCTACGTCTTATTGTAAATGATTGATCAGTGCATTATGTTCCAAACAAAAAATGAGTCTTTATAATAACAAATATAATAGTATCATCTTTCCTTTACGTCACTTAGGCCATGCAACCTTATGCTCAGCAAACAAAAATATGTTCTAAAAACATTTTTGCTAACATTCCCATTAAGTTAAGAAAACATTATTTCTGAATGTTTTCAGAACATTAAAGACCAGATATTGAAACCAGATAACTGAGCGGACTTTCCATTAACGTTACTGGAAGAACAGCTAGGTGGATAATGTTAACCAATATTCAAATGGCTTGTTAAGCAATTGGATATAACCAAATAACCTGATTTACTTGCATTTGGTCTAACTTCATTCTGGTTAGGGCTGTGTCTATGCAATCATATATCAATATGCATTTCTTTTTCTCATGATATTTTACTTATATTCAGGTCCTGAAATGATTCATATCAATTCCTAAAAATGATTTTTCGAAGTTGTAAATAAAAAAGATTAGTACATCTTACAAGAAAACACTATTTCATTCTTAAACTCTACTTAAGACTTTCATGTTTAATTCAGTGTGCTATTTGCCATTTCTTTGTATTTATTTGTGAAATTTACTAGCATTTTCTGAGTGAAAATTGTTTCTAAACCAAATTTTTTCCCAGTATACCATTCAATTAATAAAAAAGCCATCGTCTAAAATAAAGAGCATCTGAATTCCCATCAACTTTAATGCTGCAGCAACCTGCACCAAACCAAAGAAGATTGTTTTCCAGTGATTTTTTTCCAGCTGTCCTCAGTCTCATAGTTTCTTTTTTCTTTCTTTTTTCAATTTTTGTTTCTTTTATTTGCTACTTTTAATCCTGTTGTGTTCCTCTCAAGTGAGTATCTCTCTCAGCCTCTATTCTTCTGTTCCTCTGTGATGTCTTCAGTGTGATGGGCACAGAGAAATTAGTTCATTTTAGAATGTACAGTCAGATAAGGCTGTGATACAGTAAGTATGGCCTACATTGTGTGTATATGTGTATGATGTTGCGTTTCCTTTAGCATTTGTGTTTGTTTGTGTGTCTGTCAGGGTGCTCTGTGAAGAAGTTGAGGTGCTGGAGTGTTGATTTTAAGCGGTTGTCAGGGGCAACAGCTGCTTCTAATAATAGAAGCTGAAGGAAGCATTTGTCCTAAGCGAACCTGAGGCACACCCATCCTCTCTCTCTTTCACATTTCTCTGGCTTTCTGTCTTCTGCCGCACTCACATAAATGCACTCATATTGTCATCTTCATGGGGCAGAAATATAGAATAATAATAATAATAACAGTAATAATAGTAATACATTTATTAAACATAATTTAATTTTAAACTGCTGTTCAAAAGTTTGTGGTCAATAAGATTTTTTTAAAGAAATGATACTGTTATTCAGCAAGGATGCATTAAATTGATCGAAAGTGACAGTAAAGTCATTTACATATGGAGATTTCTATTTCAAATAAACGGTGTGCTTTTGAACTTTCTATTTATCAAAGAATACTGAACAAAAATCACAATGAAGGATCATCTTTCTGAAGGATCATGTGACACTGAAGACTGGAGTAATGATGCTGAAAATTCAGCTTTGCCACCACAGCAATAAATTACATTTACATCATTTAATAAAATATGTTAAAATAGAAACATTTTAAATTGTAATAATATTTAATGATGTTACTGTTTGTGCTGTATTTGTGATCAAATAAATGCATGGTGAACATAAGAAACGTCTTTCAAAAACATTAAAAAAATCTTACCAACCCCAATGGTAATGTATGTCAAAAGTATTATTTAGTGAGGTGATAAGGAGAAAGTATGATGGATACTATTATTCTTAATACCAAATGTGGGCAAAACTGCATGTATCATCTGTCCCTCCTGAAGGATCCCAAAGTTCTTGTCGCTTGTTATTTTGAACAAGATCTCAGTCATCTTAGTAGCATTTCTAAAATTCAGTTTAAGGGTCATGGATACATGCAGTACATTGTCTCCGAATAAAAAATGTTTTTAGGACACCCCCTCCCAAAGGCATGTTATAAAGTGATTGCATAGGCATTTTAAAATCTGCAAACTGTGCTGGATGACGTGTGTGTGCTCTGTGAGAAGACTCTTAACAGAGACTTTGCAGTACAGATGAGTATGGAGGAGCATTAGTGCTGGGACAGGACCTACCTGCACCCCTGTAGGGCAACTGAATCATCTGAAGTGCTTTTAGTACGTCACACATATGGAGATTACTAATTCATCAAAATAATTTTCATTTTTTATATGTTTAATGAAAAATGTTGCGTAGTCCCTGGGTTAATATTGATAGGATCAAATTTTACTGCATTGCAGCAAACAATGTCTTGTGCTAAACATAGGAATATGACTGTTACTACCCTAAAACACACGAACGTATGTCCAGATCTATTGCACAAATGCTTGTAAAAAAGGAAAATTACAGAAATTTAATTGCTTAAAAACATTTATTCGGTATAATGTATTCTCAATATTTTATAGCCACAACAGTTCAGATAGTCTCTTTAATTTTTTGTTATATTGTTATTTCTATCTTAAACTGTAAGGCAATAAATTGCACATGGCATTCAGTGCCGATTTCATGCTTTTCAGTTGGACCTAGAATTGTGGGAGATGAAACTGTCCTGTTTCGATCACAGTGTTGGTTTTAAAAGCTGCATAAAGTTGATTCTGGACTGCATTAGCTTCATAAGTTTTATCGGCCAATCAGTCTAAAATGTGACTTAAAACACACAGACAGATGCTGTGATTGTTTTATAGGGGTTTGTGAGTGTCTGTGAGAGACAGGGAGAATCCACTCTGTTTAACCTTCACTCCCATTTATCATGTTGGTTTAATGGGATCTCAACTTAATTTGTTTCACCACTTATTCAGCTGAGAAACGTGGCGACTGGGGGATGGAGTTTAAGCAGAAGCCTCTGCAAATGTGACTGCGTTTTTCAGTCTAACCTTAGACTTTACAGTTAGTCCCAGCACATTTGGGATCTTGAGAGACTCTTTCCTTTTTACAGCAAACCTAAATGAAGTGCACAGTCATGTAAGTGGCAATTGCTGAGAGCAGAGCATTGTTTGAAATATGGATGTACTGTTGGGATGGGATTTCATTTGGTTTCAAGTTGGTGATTTCACAGACTTGATGAACTTGACCTCAAAGCAATGATGAATGCAGCTTTATTTATATTATTGTGGAGCATGAAGCACCAGGGCCACACAGTTGTTATAATTGTGCTGTTTTGTCTGCAAAGGAGAGCTTGTCATCTTGGATGATGCTTTGTGATTTTACACATCTGCAGGCGGTGGCTGTATGACCTTCAGCTGAGAAAAACAGGGTTAGCAAGGTCTTGGCTAAGGGGAAGGGAAGCTTAGCCTCGAGGTGGTTGACATCCACTTAGATATGTCAGAGAAGGATGCAGATGTCCTCCCTGAGATTACAAATGTAGACAGAAAAGGGGAAAGAGATGGACAGCAGTGATCCATTTTAGTTTGTGACATATTTACTTTAAGTGGGGTCGTGTGTTTGCATATGCTAATAAGCATTCACGTTTTAACTGTTAAAACCACCGGAAACCCGTTCAAGTTTCATTTAGAATTTTTATTTTTGTATGTGTATACTTTGCACATTTTTACTCTAAAGTAACACTTAACAAGTCATAAAAATGAATATCATTGCATTAGATTCACAACACATCAAACAAACTGCAAACAAAACAACACTAGAGCTTTTATCAGAACAAACGTCACTTTTTGGGATGTTTTGAAGTGATTTTTGGTATTAGGGTGATTTGTAGTGGATGTATGAAGTCAGTTCTCTTCAAGTTAACTATGGACATGATGGGGTCATGAATTCTGAGCACATGAATGACTGAGCGAAGTCATATTTATGAGTGGGAGACTAGAATTGTTACTTTGAAAGGGACATGTTTATTTGAAACATTACCGAAAACACATATCTATATGGATATATACTGTAATTAACACTCAATATATCTATAATATAGATCACTGAGCAGAAAGCAAGTATGCATTGAATTATAATGAATGATTTTGCAAGTTATTTTAATTTATATGCTGTATTTCAGTCATTAAGTCAGTAAGTGGTAGAAATTAATAATTTTCATAATGTTGTATTCAGACGTACAGTTTGGATTGTTGTTCACAATATACATCTTTTGTTTTGTTTATCCTATTTCCTTATGTTTCCGACTTGAACACATGATTTCTTGTATAATGAATGCCACACTTGGAGGTCCGAGTTTTCTATGTACCCTTAAAGGCAGTGATGCACTTGACAACCAGAAAGAGTCTGAATACTTTTTGTCTTCATTTTAAACTGAAAATGTATTCTTTAACATATTTTGTTTGAAATATGTGCATATGCTGCCTTTCTTTACAATAAAAGCCACTTGTTTTCATATTTTGTATCTAATGCAGTGACAATCTGGCATCAATGTGGCTGAGGTGTGGAATGGAAGAAATGAACAGTTTTTGTGTGTGTTTTTCAGGACTATACCATCACCATGTATTTCCAGCAGTCTTGGCGTGATAAGCGCCTGTCCTACACAGGGATTCCCCTCAATCTTACTTTGGATAACCGAGTGGCTGATCAACTATGGGTGCCTGATACTTACTTTATTAATGACAAGAAATCTTTTGTCCACGGGGTCACAGTGAAGAACCGCATGATTCGTCTGCATCCTGATGGGAATGTGCTCTATGGCCTCAGGTCAGTGAGTTTGTGTTTGTGCGTCTTTTTTTTTGAATATTTTTTGTGTCACTTCTTCTCTCTCTCTCTCTCATGCGTTAGATTAATGTTTGATTGTTTTGTGAGTGTGCATCTTTACATTTATCTCTGTCTGCATGTGTATGCTGTATTTTTGGCTGACCCTATTCCCTTGGCTCTCCTGATGGTGCTTTTTTAGAATTTAAAGCCCAGTGAGAGATGTGTATCCTGTCTCAGTCAGGGAATATAGTAGGGTCTGTTTACACAAGAAATATGAGTCTCTGTTCTGGTTGAACCAGGCTATTATGTTTGCATCCTGTTCATCTCAATGACAGTTGCTTGGCTCGTGCAGAAGCCCTTTGGAAGAACACAATTTTAATTTTCCATCCACAGATCTTTTTGAGCCAATTGTAATTAGCAGAGCAAAGTTTGTATCTGGACCCTGGATTGGATTCATCCAGACAGCAAATTGTTTATCATAAATAGTTATAAACAAATAAACAAAATAATTATAAACAGATATGTAAGAGAACAGAAAATGTAAATCATGAGTAAATTATGTATACTATTGTTCAAAAGTTTGGGGGTTTTAATGTTTTTGAAAGAAGTCAGAAAAATATAGAAAAAACAATATTACAGCAATTTTGTGAAAAATTATTACATTTAAGATAACTGTTTTCTATATTAATATTTTAAAATGTAATTTATTCCTGATAACGTGATCCCTCAGAAATTATTCTAATATGCTGATTTGAGGCTTAAGAAACATTTCTTATTATTATCAATGTTGAAAACAGTTGTGCTGCTTAATATTTTTTTGGAAACCATACTTTTTTTCAAGATTATTTGATGAATAAAAAAATTAATATATTATATTAATTAATTATTAACAAAAATATTAATTAATTTATAGCAAATTAAGTATTAATTTCTTTGTAAAAAAAAAAAAAAAACTGACACCAAACTTTTGAACATAATGTATTTCCTTTTTTAAAGGGGTCATATGATGCTGCTAAAAAGAACAGTATTTTGTGTATTTGGTGTAATGAAATGTGTTTATGCGGTTTAAGGTTAAAAAAACAAAAGTTAGTTAGTGTGTAATGTTGCTGTTGGAGCATAAACAATATCTACAAAGTTGCAGCGCTGAAAGTTCAATACAAACGGAGATATCGTCTTTTAAAATTCTGGCAGTTTAATGCCTACAAAAACGAGCTTATTCACAGGTCCGTTACGTCACAAACCCAGATAAACCCCGCCCCCAGGAACACGCAGCAAAGGGGGCGAGGCCATGCTGCGCTGCTTTAGAGAAGAGGAAGAGAAAACTAGAGGTGCAT